TCCTATCCTCGACGCATGCTGTGTTAATGCGGTCCCGGCACGTTGAGGAACTTCTCAGAAATCTTCTGATTCCTAACTGCACAGGGCATGTGTAATTGCCTACATGAGAATTTTCGTAGCAGAGCCAATTTCTACTTTAAATGTCTTTGATTGATATGGGCGTGACTACCATCGAGACTTCCATGGTTGTCAGGATCAGCCTTGACGCCATTTTGTCATATGCAAAGTCCTTTCCAGTTAGACTTACTACCAGGGGTGTCCTTATCAATAACTTTTTTGCTAATTCCCTCGTTATCAATATGAATTTAAAAATTATTTCAAGGGTAGTATTTCTTCACAGTATCAGAGTTGACAATGTAACATCCTGAATTCGACCCACTTTCATGATCAATGAAATATATGTTTATTTCTCATTTCATTTTAGTAAGTCTCGCCCGGAACGGATCCTTCTCGGGATACTGACCATTAGGGAATGGCTAATTAGGAAAACGGTACGTGGACCTAAGAACTCGACCGTGAATCGAGGCCCGATTCCGAGAAACACCGAGGGAATATTTTGTGCCAATGAGGGCCGATCCAAGGAGAGTGACGGATTCGATTTGGCCAACGACATACGATCGGAACGCGGGTGATTCTGCATGACCGAGAGTGCGTGTAGCGAACGATCCCGAACTTATTCTGAACGATCGCGACCCCCAGAACTAGCGATAATCCTCGCGTTATCTTGGAAATCGAGACCGTCACGACTCGAGTAATCCTAAGTCGATACGCGTAACCCCTAAACAGCCGCCCGTTAGTGAGAGACGCTAAAATCGCATTTGAGCGAAATTGATCATGGAATTGAATCCGGACTTGAGTGTCGAATTTCACGGACGTATGCGACTATTTTTGTAAGGACAACGTCGCATTAGTATGGCCAATTATATTTGGGATCGGTATAGTCGAAAAATGAAATTTCGGACCGGAATCGAAAAATTATCAAATTGCCCCTAAGCCTATGCATGGGTTCCGAATTTTAGAGGTTTTAATTGGTTTATTCAGCCTTATTAGTGCCAAAAATATTGGACATTGGTGCACCCATCACTCTTGCTCATTCCCTAAAGTGGCCTTGGATATTTTGTGTCTAGAAACCATTTTGGCCATTGATCTTGATTGAATGTGATTGGTCTTTAAATTGTGGCCATTAGATCAAGTCATGAGTGGAGAGGGTAAGGTGGTAATTTTTAGAGGAGTTGTTCACCAACCCCTACCAACCCATTGTGGATAAACCTCTCTCTTGCAATATCTCTCTCCTCTCACTCTCACCAACCGGTCACTCTCTCTCTCTCTCCCCTCTCTCACGCTTCACTCTCTCCCTTTCTCCTTCCCTTGGCCGCATGAGAAGTCGCCGGAGCCGCCGCCACCACTCACCCGCGCCGCCCGCCGGAACCGCCGCCCGTCCGCCTCACCTCACCACCACCATCCGACCGCCTCTCTCTCTCTTCCTCCTCATTTCGGCACCATCACCACCACCATCATCTCCCCCTTCGCCTCCCAGCTCAGCCGGAGCACCACCGCCCGCCGTGAGGACGCCGGAGCGCCGTCGTGAGGACGCCGGAGCGCCGCCGTTGAGCCGGTTTGATCCAGCTGCTGTTCGGCCCATTTCTCTTCTTGTTCAGCCCACATTTGAAGCCTTAAACCTTGTGAGTGAAAACCCTAACCCTTATTTAGGCTTATGTGCACTTTAGACAAGTTTTAGGGGTTATTAGGGTATTTTAGGGGTTAATTAGTGTGGGCTGATTAGGACTGATTTTGTGGCTGTTTTGATGGATTAGTGTGATGATTTAAATGTGGTTTGGTGGCCTAGAAAGGGCTAATATGTGGATTATTGTGAGTGCAATTTATGGGCTGAGTATTGGCTGTTTTGTGGTGATTTTAATAGCCTAATGTGATGATTTGTAGATGGATTAGTGGCCTAGGGTGGACTGATTAAGTGGCTGTCCATTGAGGATTTAATTGGGCCTTGTTCAGCTAATATGTGGTTTGTTCGTGAATTGCCATGTGTGATTGGTTGGGCCATGTGGTGGCTGATTTGGGTATTGAATTATGCTTGATTATGTAATGCCATGTTGAGTGCTAGTGTGACCGAGAATTGAGGGGCATTATGGGCCATGAGTGTGCTCAATTATATTGATTAATCGTATGAATTCGGGTGCCAAATATGTGTTGTGGCTGTTTTGAATTCATTGATTCATTGGGCGCGCTAAGAGGTGAATTAAGCATGTCGTGGCATAAATTGAGCTTGTGGCTAATTTAAATTGAGTGTCCTAGTGTGATTGTTATGGCCATGAGTGTGCATATTGAGCATTGGCATAATATGTGCATTATGTGAGTATGCACGATTGGCATGAGCATGTGATCGCTTAAACCACCCTGAGGCATCGTTTACGCGGGGTTCAGATAATAATTAATGGATTGCGCTCGTGTGATCACATAAACCCTGAGGCGTCGTTTACGCGGGGTAATGAACCCGTCCTGAAGCGTTTAACGCGGGACGATGCCCGGATTACCAGAAGATGGCCAACCTGAGGCGTCCCACACGTGGGTTGTGTCATGAGCCTGATGCGTTTAACACGGGCCGGAGATTGATCGATAAGTGATAGACCTGATGCGTGTTACGCGGGTCGGACCTGATGCGTTTTATGCGGGTCGGTGAATAAATGGAAAGTTGGCACGTGTGCAAGTGTGCAAGTGTGCATTGAATTGTGCAAGCATAAGCATGACATTGGCAAGTGTGCGAAGAGTGCATAAACGAGTGCAAACATGTGTGCGGCATGTGACAGTGGCCAATTGACATGTGTATGTGCATTGCTGGGCATAGTATTATTATTATTATGTGCCTAACCTGCAGGGTCACTATATGCTTGATTTGGGCCCGAGGGCCTAAGTCGTGTGATTGATCAACTATGTGTTTAGTTGATGCTTGTCCGAGAGGTGCATGTTAGCCTAGTTTCGGTTTACGGGGCCTACTCGCTAAGATTTATTCTCATTGTTGTTTAAACCCCACTTTTCAGACCCCCGACCTTGAGATGGTGGATGCGCCACTTCGTTTTGGGATCTCGTATCGCATAGAGCGATCGGTGACTGAGCACCCCATAGGGAATGGGGAGTCTTATATTAGGCATTTCATTATAGTTTGGGTCGACGAGGGTGGGCCGCATTTCCGGGCCCATCCTTATCTCGGTTGGTGTTTTCGGGATCAGTTCGGTACGCATGGACCTCTTAGGACCATCGACATCCCGTTCGACATATATGGCCAACCGGATACGCAAGCCGCTGATGGAGAGGTCGTGAGTCCCGCTGCCACGTCCGAGGAGGATTCCGGCACCCGACCAGTCATCATCGAGATGGATACCGAGTCCGAGGGAGAGGAGCCGATGGACTGGGAGTTCGACATTGAGCCGGAGCCAGAGCCCATGGAGCAGGAGCTAGAGCCCGAGGATGATTCCGAGGAAGAGTCAGTGGACGCCGAGTCTGAGCCGGATTCGATGGATTCTGAGCCTAAGTCGTCTGATGACTCGACTGATTCCTCAGGATCCAACTCGGACTGGTTGCCTTAGGATTTATCCTCGACCAGAGTAGGGTAGGGTCGACACTTTTTGGATAGGTGCCCTTCTTAGGTTTAGTACCCTGACCCCCGAACCACATACCCCTTTTTGATGTTAGTGGCTGTTGACCCATTTTGGTTTATATGTGTAGTTCTTTTGCGATGGATATTGTAAATCCCTGTTGTTAATGCAAGTATGTATTTATGATGGTTGTTGTTCGATGGCTATCCTTGGTCATGTGTTTTATTGTTCGGGTGATATGTTGCTTCCGCTTGTGCATTGTTCTCTGTCTGGGTTTTGGGTCGGCGACGCGTCCTGGGACGTCGCACTGAATAGACCTCGGAGGGATGATCGCGAGCCCGTAAGGTTCGGGGCGTGACAGACAGGGTTGGAGAATTGACGTCCATCCATCTTAATCAGATCAAAGCCCCTCCAGGGAGTCTTTTTCACGATATAAGGACCCTTGTAGTTTGGAGCGAACTTACCTCCAAGCTCGGGGGATAATGATAGTACCTTCCATAGGACAAGATCGCTTGCTTTGAAGTGTCTTGGGCGTACCTTTTGATTGAATGACATGGCTACCCTCTGTTGATAGCATTGACCATGGCAAAGAGCTTTCGGCCACTTTTTGTCGATCATATTCAACTGCTCCAGTCTTTGCCGCTTCCACTCTGCATTAGACAGTTTTACTTGAGACAATACCCGCAGCGAGAGGATTTCTACCTCAATAGGTAAGACTGCTTCCATGCCGTACACCAAGGAAAAAAGGGTTACCCCGGTAGATGTCCGAATTGATGTTCGATATGCCATTAATGTAAAAGGCAATATTTCATGCCAATTTCGGTAGTTCTTAGCAGTTTTGGCTAAGATCTTCTTGATGTTTTAGTTGGCCGCCTCGACAACTCCGTTCATTTGGGGTCGGTAGGGAGACGAATTCAGATGACGGATTTTGAATTCACTGAATAAATCATCAACGAGCTTGTTATTTAGATTCGTCTCGTTATCTGTAATAATGGCTTTAGGGACGTCATAGCGGGCGATTATGTCACGCCTGATGAATTTCATCACATTCCGAGCGGTGACATTGGTATACGATGTGGCCTCGATCCACTTGGAAAAATAATCAATCCAAACCAAGATAAACCGATGCCCATTTGATGCCTTAAGATTGATTGGGTCGATCACATTGATGCCCCACATTGAAAATGGCCATGACTCAGACAACTAATGTAATTCAGTTGGAGGGGCATTTATCCTATCTCCATGGATATGACAACAGTGACAATTTCGAACATGTCGAATGCAATCGCTTTCTAAGGAAAACCAGTAATAGCCCAGCCTCGTTATTTTTCTATCCAACATGTGTCCATTCATATGTGGACCATATAATCTTTCATGCAATTCTTGCATAATTCACGTTGCTTCAGTTGCCTCCACACATCTCAGCAGAATAGAATCATATGACCTTTTGTATAAGTACTCACCACTGATGAAGAAATTCGTTGCCATCTTCATTATGTACCTTCTGTTTGCAGCGGTACTACCTCCAGGGAACTGCTGCTCCTTGATGTAGTTCATGATATCATAATACCATGATTTGCCATCGGGTTCCTCAGTTACGGCCATGCAATGGGCTGGTCTGGTCAGGACTTCAATCCTCAGAGGTTCTATTTCCAACCCATTGGTGACCTGCAACATAGATGAATGCATAGCCAGCGCATTGACGAATTGGTTATGAGATCTGGAAAGGTAGTCAAACGAGATCTCGTTAAATTCTGTCATCAATTCTTCTAGAAAGTCATGATAGCATCCTTAGTCTTCCATTCACCCACAGTTTGGAGGATGATCAAGGCAAAATCACCAAACACTTTGGCTGTGTTCGTTTGGGGAAAAACATTTTCCGGAAAAATATTTTCCGGGTTTTCCGGTGTTCGGGGGCGGAAAATAACTTCCTGGGGGAAACGTTTTCCACTAATCAGGTAAATTCCTTCTTCAAACTGGGGAAAATGATTTCCTCTTTCGAGAAAGAGGAAATCATTTTCCCTTCTTTCTTGTTTGCCCGCACGTTGCCCTCAAGCCCTCTCGCCCTTGCCTCCTCTCGCGTCGCTCTCTGTTTCCCATCTCTCTCAGGCCTTCTTCGTCTCGTCCCTCATCTTCAGATCCGCTCGTTCTCCGTTGCTGGCTCGCGCTTTGTCTCGTCCCTCATCTCTAGATCTGCTCGTTCTCCATTGCTGGCTCGCGCTTCCTCATCTCCGGATCCACTCGTTCTCCGTTGCTGGCTCGCACTTCGTCTGGTCTCTCATCTCCAGATCCGTTCCTTTTCCGTTGCTGGCTCGCGCTTCGTCTGGTCCGTCTTCTCGTCCCACCTAGACGCGATTCCGAGGTAATCTTCTCGTCCCATCGAGACGCGATTCCGAGGAACGCCGAGGCGCTATTAGCAGTTAGGTCTTCGTCTATTTGGCTGTTCGGGTTGTTGGTTAATTGAGCGTGTCGTCGATTCGTTGTTGATGAGTCTGACGGGAATGTTGCATTCTAGGGTTGGGGAAGGCCGAATGGTCGGATTGGTTACGGAATTCGTTAGATCTGTAGGTGTTTGTTATGTTGTCGGGTTGACATGATCAAGTTTGCTTTTTGGCGTTCCTTTTTGTTCAGGGAGCCATTCATCAAGTTCCCCAAGACTATTCAGATTTTTAGAGGAAGAGGAGAATTCTGAGGCAGAGGTTGAAGGTTCCGCCAGCTTTGAACCAGTTCACCAAGATCCTCGACAAGAACTTGGGTATGCAGTAACAAAAAGTTCTTTTGCTTTCCTGTATCTGAATATTGTGGTCGGTGTAGAATCTTAAGATGCACTTGTGTTTTGCAATAACTAGTTATTCTTGCTTTGCTCTCTGCCAAAATATAATATCTGAGATGCGATTATGAGAAATGGCTGCTTTACTGCTCAACTTCTTTGCAACCTCCATTTGAATTGTAATTATCAAGAAGAGAACAAGAGCGAGAGTAAGTAGGCTTTCTGAATACATCTTCATTCAGCCAGTTAAATAAGCTTCCCTGTGCCCTGTCTTCCTTTTGATAGACCTTCTTTCCCTCACCACAATCTATCTGATAGTCCTTGCCTGGTATCAATCGGTTTAAGTCAAGTTCCCAAAGTTTGTTATAGGCTTGTGATAGATTAGAAAGTTCCTCCTCTGTGGGTTCTATGCCAGAACCGATTTCAACCTCAATGGAGTATTCCTGCTCACTAGGAGGTCGTTTGTATCCATGCCAGTGATCCATTTGAACTTGATAATTGGTAGATCAGAGTTCTTCTTATGACAGAAATAACACCATAGGCAAATAACACAATTACTAGAGATGTTCTGTTCAGTAATGCTCATTTTGAACATCAAATGGATGATGGTTAACATGATAACACATTGCCAAAATCTGTTTGTGGATTGTCTAGGCTAAATTCCAAATGAAGAACCAGCAAAATGATGAAAACAAAATCCTTAACAAGTGAAGCTTCATCTACATTTATCACTCTTTCTTATCAGTACGGTTATAGAGCCAGCATCTATAGATGCCAAATATCAGTCCCCAAATCGCACACAATCCAGACCATGTCCATATTATCTTAGGTTATCTGAAAACAGATGAGTATAGTCAATTTCGCTTCTTATCTGTTGTTATCTTATTCCTTCCTATCATTTTCATCTATATCACAAAATGTCAATTTGTCCAGCCATGATCCCTTAGCACATAGAGAACTAAACTAAGAAGCTTAAAAAGCCATCTAACACTACTATGGCCTCAATTTCATTTTGCTTGTATAAACAGCGCTTCTAGTATTTCACTTGCATTTTGTGTTTTATGATCAGTGTGCTCCAATAGAGATGGATGATAACAAAATCCAAGTGTCGTTAATGGGTGCGGGTGCAGCGGTTATGACAGTTATCACACTAGTTATGGATGATTATAATCATTCTAAGAACCATATACCGAGAGAGCCTCATGTGAACCGAGATTATGAGAGAGAGTTGTATATGAATCGGGTCTTATACAGTGGCGATACTCATTGTATAAATCAAATACGGATGGCGCCAAATACTTTTTTAGAGCTATGTAAGGTACTCGGTGCAAGTAACTTGTTGCGTTCTACGGTAAATGTTTCTGTTAGGGAGCAAGTTTTGGTATTTTGCCATATCATTGGACATAATGTGAGGTTTAGAGTCATTGGGGGAAGATTCCATAGATCAATAGACACCGTGCATAGGTATTTCAAAATTGTCTTGCAAGCGATTTTGAAATTATACAAGCATGTGGTCAAAGAATCAAGCAATTCCACTCCTCCTGAGATAAGTAGCAGTCGAAGGTTTTATCCATATTTTAAGGTATGAAATTTGGAAAAAAAAAAGTCTTTATACATTGCTTGAGAAGTTTCATTAGTATTTTGTTGGTAAATATATTGATTATTTTAGGATTGTATCGGAGCAATAGATGGAACTCATGTACGTGCATCAGTTCCTCTTGAAATTCAAGGAAGATTTCGTGGTCGAAAGGATGGAACAACACAAAATGTATTAGCTGCTGTTACATTTGACTTAAGATTTTCTTATGTCTTAGCTGGTTGGGAGGGGACTGCACATGATTCACGTATTTTATCTGATGCACTTTCAAAGCCGGATGGATTGAACGTTCCTCGAGGTAAGAAAATGGAATTTATACACAATGTTTGAATTGAGGTTAGTATCTTAGTAATAAACTTATTTATAATTTGTAGGAAAATATTATCTTGCTGATGCTGGTTATGGAATCCAAAATGGCATCCTCTCTCCCTATCGTGGTGTTAGATACCATTTGAAGGAGTTTAGCGATCACCCACCTGAAAATGAGAAGGAACTATTCAATCTCCGCCATTCATCTCTAAGAACTACTGTCGAAAGAGCGTTTGGAGTTTTAAAGAAACGTTTTCGAGTGCTGGATTCTGAACCTTTTTGGTCATTTGAAACACAAGTCGATGTTGTCTTAGCTTGTTGTATCGTTCATAATTTTATCATGGGATTTGATCCCAATGATTCCATCATGGATGAGATGAATAGACAAATGGAATCTCCGAGAGAAAATCCAAGAATCCTACTTTCGCAAAGAGAGGAAAGGGAGGAAAATAGGATATGGGCAGCAAAAAGGGATAGTATTGCGCATGCAATGTGGATTAGTTATAATAATATTTGAAGAAGTCAATAGTTTTCCTTTTGTTTTTTTTTAGTGTCATTTAGAACATGTGGTTTCCATTTCTGTAATGTTAATCATCTTTAAATAGTTACTACGCATCTCTCTTCATCGTATTTTTTCTTATTCTGCTGTTTGAAGTTGTTACGTAGTTATCATGATGGGTAAAAGTAAGGCAAATGATGAGAAGATCAAGCAATTTAGATGGTCTAAGCCTATGGAACGTGTTTTACTTGAAATTCTTGCCGATGAAGCTAGTAAAGGAAACAAGCCTTCGAGCGCATTCAAACCCTCTTCAATTGCTCGAGTTGTCGATGCAATAAGTGAGAGGTTTGGCGTTCATTGTCAGCCCGAACATGTTGAGAACCATTTGAAGACAATGAAAAGCAATTGGAAGACGATTCAAATGATACGTGGCAAGAGTGGATTCAATTGGGATGACAATTTGAAGATGATCATAGCTGGAAAAAAGGAATATGATGAATATGTGACGGTAATTTTTCTTTGCAACTTTTCATTTGTTTGAATAATTGGGGCAAAAGAAGCTTGGTGGTGGGGCAAACTGAATCTTTGTTATGTTTGCCTACTCAAAATAGCTCAAATTCTCTCCATTTCACTTATAATAACTGAATGAATATTGTGCATATTACGACGATCTAAATTGTTTCGTTTGACTTTATATGGATTATTTGTATTGGATTGACAGGTCCATCCTTCTCATGAGAAGTATCTAAATAAGATGATTGATATGTATGATGAGATGTCTTTGGTGGTTGGGAGAGATATGGCTACCGGAAGCTTTGCTAAGCAGCTCGGAGATGTTGATGTAACGGAAGTTGACTCCTCACCCATTGATTTAGACGATGACTTTGATGAGTTGATGAAGGGATCAAAAACATCTTCATCTACCGTGCCTTCGGAAAAGAGGGCCCACAAAAGACGAAGATGTTCCGACAATGATGATAAATATGCTCCATTTTCAAAACAACTTGGAGAGATGGCATTGGCGATTAAATCACTGGGTCAAGGCGGCGTCAATTACTCTCAACTGTACAATGAGGTGATGAAGGTGGATGGTTATGATGAAGTTTCCCTTGGTTCGGTTTTTGATTACCTAGTTGAGAATGAAAAAATTGGAAAAGCATTCATGGTGAAGAGTGTGACTCTTAAGAAAGTGTGGATTGATAAATTTCTAGCCAAAGGAGAACAATGACATTTTGTAGAGCTTTGTTATCAAAAGACTCATGTATTGTTTCTTTTTATATTGTTAGTGTTAGTACTCCGAGAGATGAAGTTTGATGTATGGTTGGTCTATATTGGCTTTTCTATGACTAGTGATCTCAGTGTGGACTATGCATTTTAACTTAAAGAATGCTTACCCTTTGTTGTGAAGTGATTCTATGTTGTTTATTGGATATGAAGTTGTGAATTTTCTCCCTTCCTCATGTCTAGCTAATCAAAATTTGGCTTCTGAAGAATGTCCAATACCTCATTTTGGTAAGATTGGTAGTGTTATGATATCTTTCTTGTTTATGCATAATTGTCGAAATCTTATACTATCAAGATCTTTAGACATCACTTTTCATTTGCTCTATTTGTGTTGAGTCTCCATTCTAGGTGACAACAAGTGGATCCAAAAATGCCATCGTTCTGGAATCATATGAGTTTGCGAAAAATGCTCTATTTGTGTTGAGTCTCCATTCTAGGTGACAACGAGTTGATCCAAGAATTGCAACCATTTCTACGATGATGCTTGCATTAAGCTCACTAGAAATCCTATGCATAAAAGGCAAGTGCATGCCCAAGTGGTGAAGTCTGGAAAATATTTTACTTGCCGAACGGCGGAAAATGTTTTCCAAAACTTTTTCAGATTTCAGCCGAACACAGGAAAATGACTTCCGGGGAAAATATTTTCCCGGAAAATGACTTCCGGAAAAATATTTTCCAGAAATGGGTCATTTTCCGTCAAACAAACGGAGCCTTTTAGTTTGGTTATTTTCATGTCAAATACTACTTGTAGACCGAGAATACACGCCTCATACTCGGATATTGTTGGTGCAAGGAAACACCAATTTCGCGGCTATAGGATAATGCTGCCTATCTGGGGATATCAAGACTGCCCCAGTGTCAGAGCCAGACAGGTTTACTGCTCTATTGAAGAACATAGTCCACGTATGTTCTTCTGCCGATAAAATGCGATCTGGGAGATCATTTTCATCTGTTTTCTCAGCCAGCATATCAGCGATCACTCGACCTTTTACTGATTTCTGCGACGATGTTTGGATGTCGAATTCCGAAATTAGAATTTGCCATTTGGCCAATTTTCCCACCAATGCCGGCCAGTTAAGCAAATACCGAATGGGGTCGTTTTCAGTTACGAGAAACGTTTGGTGGTGCAAAGTATATTGCCGAAGCCTATGCAACACTCACACCAATGCAACACACGTTTTTGCTGATTCGGAATAATTCTGCTCCGAAATGGTGAATTTTTTACTCAAATAATAGATAGCCCTTTTTTTTTCCATTGTAGGGGTTGCTCTGGGCCAATAGGGCTCCCAACAATTCATTGTGGATTGTTAGATAGAGAGTTAGAGAATATCCTAAGACTGGCGGAACTAGTACTGGGGGATTCATTAAATACTGTTTCAGTTTTTCAAACACTCCCCGACAATCTTCATCCCAATTGATCTAAGCGTCTTTCCTGAGAAGTTTGAAAAAAGGTCGTGCAGTCTCAAAGAGTTGGGAGATGAATCGTACGATGTAATTCAACCTTCCTAAAAGGCTTCTGTCCTCCCTCACTGTGGATGGGGGCTGCATTTCACATATTGTTTTGACTTTCAAGGGGTCGAACTCGATTCCTTTGCTGCTCATAATGAATCCAAGTAACTTATCAAAAGTCGCCCCGAACATGCACTTTGCAGGTTTAGGCGTAATTTGAACTCGCGCAGCTGGCTCAATAGCTTCTTCAGGGCTTCAACATGGTCCTCTCCGCATTTGGTCTTAGCGATCATGTCATCGACATAGACTTCAATTTATTTATGCATCATGTCATGGAAAAGAGTGACCATAGCACGTTGGTATGTTGCCTTGGCATTCTTCAAACCAAAAGGCATAACCCTGTAGTAAAAGGTCCCATATAAAGTGATGAATGACATCTTCTCCTTGTCTTCGTCGTTCATCCTTATCTGGTTGTACCCGGAAAATCCATCCATGAAAGAAAATAATTCGAATCCAGCAGTGCTATCTATAAAGACATCTATGTGGGGGAGCGGAAAGTCGTCCTTCGAACTGGCCTTGTTCAAATCGCGGTAATCAACACAAACTCGAATTCTACCATCTTTTTTCTTCACTGGCACGATGTTTACTACCCAATCAGGGTATTGCGAAACCTCGATGAACCCTATTTTCAAGAGTTTCATCACTTCTTCTTCGATTTTTTTCTACAGCTCAGGTTTGGTCCTTCGTAACCTTTGCTTCTTAGGAAGCATGTCGAAATTGGTAGGCAAACTGTGCTCGACAATCTGAGAGTCTGGACCTGACATATCAAAATAAGACCATGCGAAGACGACTTGATAATCTTTGAGGAGAGGGATCAGACGTGTGGCCTTTTCTTCGAGAAAGTTAGCCCCAATCTTTACTTCTTTTGGATCTTTAGTACCACCCAAATTGATAGTAATAGTGTTCTCGATTGTAAGGGGTTTGATTTGTTCATATTGCTCCAAATTTCTTCGGATTTCGGTAAGATCATCACTTGAATCGTCAGAATCGCTGCTGTCGGCATCTACGGCATATGGCTGGATCGTACTAACTCCCTCGCAAGTCGTGAGATTATGCATGAAACACATGGTAAATTGATCAGAAAAACAAATGGGGTTATGAGCATATAGATTTTTTCATTATTCTTTCTCTTACAATATTTTTGGAAGAAATAGCGAAATGCTTTTGATTTTCGAGAAGCTTAGAAATGAGGAAGCATGAGGTAGCCCGGGCCTTAGAATACTTTCCTTTGCGTGGCTGGATATCATCAATGGGCCGGTTTGGGATACTATCTCATGTCCTCAAAACATTATTTATTTACAACATATGGATTTACAACCTCAGGAGAGTTCAAAAAGACTTTTCTTCTGGCAGAAATGATGATAAAAAATAAAATACAAGGATAACCCATTTTCCAGGGATTCATGCAAAAGGGTTAGAGGAATTCTACTCAAGCGGGCTTGCACCCATTCCTTCCACCGGTCCTTTATCTATCGCGTTGACGTTCGAAAGTATCGTTCCAAGAATCCAGTTTATCGCCTTTTCTCTTTGCTGCTATCAGCAGGTCCATGCCACCCCATCCATCCACGATGCTATTATGCTGCTAGTAAAAAAATTTTGATGGTATCTGATAGTTGACGTAGAAGTCATACCCACCACTGAGCTCGCCTAGGGTATCCATGATTGCCTTCCCTTCACGTGCCCTCTCAACAAGTTTAGGAGTGGTGGCACGAATGCTGAGCACCACTAGGAGGTCGTTACTGCCGTAGCACAACCAAGGGGCACGGAAAGTAAATGCCCCGGCATCTAACAGATCCTATACTCTGTTTTTCAAGGTGCTGCAATCACCTAGTGAGTGACCAACTTCTCCCGAGTGAATCACAGGACAGGGTGGGATCATAATTGACGAAATACTCGGGAGTAGCATGTTTTGGCTCCCTTGTGATCTTCTTCTGCAGAAGGACATGGAATATCTCGTCCATGGATTTAGGGACTGATGAGTACTGTCGCACGTCGCCCTGCCATTGTAAAAGTTGGATATCCTGCCATGTCGTGTCGAGAAGGACTCCCGATGATGGACTTTCTTCGGGAACACTCACCTGGGTTAGCTCTTCTTGATCGGGAGGCGACAGTGACATCCGGGATTTGGCCAATGATATCCATTAAGGATGTGAGCAAATTTCGTAGTTCACCCACCTGATACTGCAAACGTGCAAACCAATCAATTGCATTTACACTCGTTTCTGGGGTTGAGTCTTCATGTATAGCACCTACGAAGATATCGTCAAATAGGGTGACCACGCTATCTAGCATTTCTTTTTGTCCACCATCTTTCTCAATCAGTAACTCGTCTGGATTTTGATGTTGGTCGCTAGCAACATTCTCGGGAAGCGTTGACGAGCTAGGGCGACTTGAGCATTTAGTAGGATACCCGAACTTATTGCCGGGTTGTCCTGAGAAGTTGATACAATCTTCCTCATCTTGCAACAATCTAGCAGGTGGCGGGAAAGTATCCCAGATATGGGGAAGCAACAAGCCAGCTGGATCCCTCCCACGCCCCTTATTGGCCTGTGGGTTTCTTCCATAATATCCTAGACCAGAGGTACGGTGGTTTCTAGCGGCTTGAATAGGTTCTAGAATACCTCAGACTCCTCTGCCGAGTCATCGACCTGGGGCGAAGGCATTCCCTACCATAACCTTTCCTACCATAATTGCGATTTTGATATATCAGGGATAAAGGGAGAAGCTCCTCGATATCCGTGCACGGTTGACATGAGCTCGATATACTGATAATTGAATTCCACCTTGCCATTCGATTCGACATATGGGATAGCAGTTTCCTGATAGATTCGATGATCTTCTTCACCGAGGACTGTGACTAGCCTTTCCTAGGCTACGAACTTCATATTTTGGTGAAGACTTGAAGGCACGGCTCCAGCAGAGTGAATTCAAGGACGGCCTAACAAAAAGTTAAACGCGGTGGGGATGTCCATTACCTGAAACAGAATACTGAACACAGTTGGGTCAATTTGGACATCGAGATCGATCTCACCACCGGTGTCTTTCTTCATCCCGTCAAATGCTCGAATGGATGTTTTGGAGACACGGAGCTTAGATAGGTCTATATTGAGACGGCGCAAGGTTGCCAATGGGAAAATATTCAAAGCAGACCTATTGTCGATCAAGACTCGAGCCACATGGGAGTTCCTACATTTACTAGAGATGTAGAGACCCTTGGTATGCCCTCTACCCTCGGCAGGGAATTCGTCGTCCGAGAATGCTGTCCGGTCTTTCAACAGGATGGACCTTACGAATGCCTCTAACTTGTCATGCTCAATCGTTTCGGGGACGTTTACTTCGTTGAGCACTTTCATAAGAGATTTCTGATACTTTGCGAATGTTTGAAGTAGTTCTAGCAAAGAAATTTGGACGGGCAACTTGCGCAGTTGATCCACC